CTCCCTCTCCTGTCTCTCTCTCCTCTCCTCTCCTGTCTCTCTCTCATCTCCTCTCCTGTCTCTCTCTCCTCTCCTCTCCTGTCTCTCTCTCCTCTCCTCTCCCCTCCTGTCTCTCTCTCTCCTCTCCTCTCCTGTCTCTCTCTCCTTTCCTCTCCTCTCCTGTCTCTCCTCTCCTCTCCTGTCTCTCCCTCTCTCCTCTCCTCTCCTGTCTTTCCCTCTCTCCTCTCCTCTCCTGTCTCTCCCTCTCTCCTCTCCTTTCTTGTCTCTCCCTCTCTCCTCTCCTCTCTCTTTCTATTCTCGTCTCCTCTCCTCTTTCTCTCTCTCCTCCTCTCCTCTCTCTCCTCCTCTCCTCAATCTCTCTCTCTCTCTCAGTCTCCTCTCCCTCTCATTTTTTATTATCATTATCATATTTTTTTACTAAATTTTCTCAATATATGATTAAGATATATACAGCCTTATTGAAGTCCAGTATTTCACTACACCTATACTTCATCATTTTGCCCTATGTATTTTACAGAGGCACATACAAACAAACAAATAGATAACCAGCCAAATAAACAAACACATACACATATGCTCCTATAATTACCTTTGAGACTGTAACTGTCTTCCACATGGTTTAAAAACACCCATACACCCAATACCATACCAGACTGGAAAGTTTGCAAACTGCACAGCTGATAACAAATATCTTTCTTAAAAATGTATATCTGGAAGATATCAGCGTGCAGGTACACATTAATTTTGACAAATTTTTAATGTAAACTTTCCTGACCAGAAGTTTCACTTTGTATGCCATAAAGTCTAATAATCATTATTGTGTCTACAACATGTCATATTTGTTGATTCATCTTGATGCCTTTACTTAACTCTTTGGACCCAGATGATGTTACGGTCACGCCATGGGAAAACTTGAGTCAAGGGTCAGGTGACATGAACATGCTATCATCGGGGAAAATGGGTGCCGCCCGAGTGACGTGAACTTGCCATCATAAGCAAAGGCCAGGGTGACAGAAAAGACTTGCCACTAGTGCACAAACCAGTTGGAGTGTGATTTGACTCATTTGACACATAGGAGGCTTTAGCATTATTCCCATCAATAAACAAATGTGGAATGTAACGTGCGTAAGCAGCAACTGGAAGAAACCGGCTCCAGGGAGGATGCCATTTCCTGGATACTGTGAGCAGCAGCACAGGTTATATTATGTAGAATTGAAAATTACGAAAAAATGAGATATATGACACAAACAGCCAAGTGTTCCATATTTTTTTCCTTGCACCAAGTTATTTACTACATAAAGAGATGATATGGAGTCTGTGCAAGGAAAATAAGTTATTACCATTTGGATAATGCCAATCAAGACAGATATGGACATTGGAAAATTGCAATAAAGCTAAAAAAAGTTTACGGCACCATTATTCCCATGATCCAACTGGCTCCAACATGTTAAGCAAAATGTGCTGACTTTACAACTATGAGAGTGCTGATATACCCGAAGGTGTCCTCTGTATTCTCATTTGCACAGCTACCTTGCATACTGACAGCAGACTGTAGAATTTGGTCTATGCAGGGAATGTGTTCCCCATGCAAAAATTATTTGGTCAAATTCTGTCCTTCCAAATGTAGTTCTCAGTTAACTTTCCATGCACGCTTAGTTCTTTTGACCTTTCCGAACACTTGTTCCATCATCCATCTGTAGATCCGTCTGCACAAATGTAGACAAAATATGTTTTCTGCACATGAAAAAATGTAATATTCCCCATGCAAGAAATATACTCTACAGTCTGGTACTGACATTTGATTTGTTGGTCAATCTTTATGCTATGGATGCACTAAGCTTGGGCAAACTAAATAAGATATTCTTGTTGAGGACAAAAAGTCGCCTGTGCAAAAAATATTGTGTAGACATGATCAGTAAGCGCCTATCTCACCATTCGGTGCTCCCGAGTTTCAGGTCTATCTTGCCGTACTTACCGAGGTGAAGACATTTCCCAGGAACAAAGCCCTACATCAACCCTATAAGAATCCTAAAATCACTGTGTATCGTATTATTTTAACTTATTCTACCAAGATCAAAATCTTATAAATGATAATAAAAAGGTATTTAAAATGCATACCTCTTAATCGTGCACTTCTTAAATTTCTCATACCATGATGGGAAACTACATGCCATAACATCATTAACCTTCATCTTGCTGTGGTTACAAATGCACTTAAAAACACACGGAAGTCTCTTCTGTCTGACAGTATCTGACGAAATACTGGGTTTGTTTACATCAGGAACTCTGGGATAGCACCTTTGAAATCCTCGAGTGACCGTCTTTTAAAAAGGTATAGCAAACCTCATATTTTTTTTTTTTTTTTTTTACCTTTCGTCATCATCATTATTGTCATAATCATGATCACCATCACCCCTCACCATCAACATGAATGTGATGATGATGATTATGATTATTTTCATCAGCATTATCATTGTCAATACTATTATCATTAGCAAAATCAATATCATTCGTATCATCTTTATCATTATCATTATAATAATTATCATTATTGTCATTATCATTATTATTGTTATTGTTACTATTATTATTATTATCATCATCATTATTATTATTATCATCATCATTATTATTATCATTATTATTGTTATTACTATTATCATTATTGTCATTATTGTTGCTATTGTCATTGTCACTGTTATTACTATTATAATTTATATTATCATTACCATTACCATGATCTTTATTGTCGTTATCATTATCATCATTGGCATTATCAAAACCATCATTATTATTATCTTAATCCTCATTAGCATCTTCATCAATTAATAGTGTTATCATTGACATTATTACTACTATTATCATCGCCATTATTGTTAGTTATTATTCCTATCATCATTATCATTATTATTACTGCTATTGTAACTATCATCATTACTTTTATTATGATTATTGCTATCATCATTACTGTTATTACTATCACTATTATCGTCATTATCATTATTGTTATTACTATCATAATTGTAAATATCCTCATCATTTTTGTTATTGTCATCATCATTACCGATATTACTATCATTATTATTAACATAATTATCAGTGCCCTTATCATCATCATTACCTAAACCAAGGAGGTTTGGTTTTGGTAGCATTGGCTGGTTTGTTGGTTAATTGATTAGCAGAATAACTTTTAAAAAATAGGAACATTTTTTAATGATTTTTATACCAGAGGAGTGTCTTAACCCAACAAAGATGCCATTAGATTTAGCTGGTGATCCGGATCATGATCCGGATCCTACAAAGGATAACTCAAAAACTTATGAAGAGATTTTTATGTTCTAATCAGAGGTATGTCAGTCCAACTCAGATGTCATTAAATTTTGATTTTTTAAAAAGGATTCAGTATCATCATCTTTATGTCTAATTTCAACATTTGTCATTTCCTTTATGTTATTGTTGTTTCATATATATATATATATATATATATAATTATATATAATATATATGTATTGTATATATAGACTTTTATGTATATGCACACAGACACACACACACGCACACACACACACACACACCACACACACACACCACACAGAACACACATACACACACACACACACACACACACACACACAACACACACACACCCAAACACACACTACACACACCACACAAAACACACACACACGCACACACACACACACACACACACATACACACATTCACTCATACACACATTCACACATACACAACACACACACAACCACACACCACACACACACACCACAC